ACAGCACAATGTCCTAACCACTAGACAACCATGGTTTAGTGTTCCAACCAGGATTCAAACCTGGGTTATAGTGATCACAGCACAATGTCCTAACCACTAGACAACCATGGTTTAGTGTTCCAACCAGGATTCAAACCTGGGTTATAGTGATCACAGCACAATGTCCTAACCACTAGACAATCATGGTTTAGTGTTCCAACGAGAATTAAACCTGGGTTATAGTGATCACAGCACAATGTCCTAGTCAGTAGACAATCATGGTTTAGTGTTCCGACCAGGATTCAAACCTGGGTTATTGTGATCACAGTACAATGTCTTAACAACTAGACAATCATGGTTTAGTGTTCCAACCAGGATTTAAACCTGGGTTATAGTGATCACAGCACAATGTCTTAACCACTAGACAATCATGGTTTAGTGTTCCGACCAGGAATCAAATCTGGGTTATTGTGATCACAGCACAATGTCCTAACCACTAGATAATCATGGTTTAGTGTTCCAACCAGGATTCAAACCTGGGTTATAGTGATTACAGTACAATGTCCTAACCACTAGGTGATCATGGCCCAGTTCACCCACATAAACTACATTATTATAAGTTTCTATAAAACACATTACTCAACTTATCTTGCATCTGTTGTCAATAATTAAAATTAAAAAAAAACATACAATGCTCAAGACTCCTTTTTTTGCAATGTAAACTTTATCATTTCATTTTATCAATTAACTATCTGTAAACTGTATAATATTCACTTTGTTCTTTTGGTGATACAACAATAGTAATAAATCCAATTAAATATCTCTAAAATGTATAATACTCACTTTGTTCTTTTGGCAATACAACAATAGTAATGAATCCAATTAAATATCTCTAAAATGTATAATACTCACTTTGTTCTTTTGGCGATACAACCTTAGAATGAATGCTTCCTGACAAGATTCCAAAATCCTGGTGAAAATAATGTTCTATGTTTCATCTTGTAAGTTAACTTTACAAATACCTACAAACTTTGAAAAATTTCAAACAATCTATCATTTTATGAAAACAAGATAATTAAGAATTGGTATCAAGTAACATATACATATGTGTTACATAT